GACTATGGTGACCCGGCTTAAAGGAGCCTGACGCCTACTGGACTATTCAGCAGAAAGAAGAGGCCAGGAGCCTCACCTGGGTCTTATTAGAGACAATCAAATTACAATAAGGCGGCGGGATTTTTCATCATGACAAATTGTGATCATAGTACAAGTGTTCCCACCTGTTGGCCCTTTGAAGCCAACAGAAAGGGAAAATGCACAAGCTTCTTCCCAGCAGGTAAAAAACAAGCTCACACCTTGAACATCTGTTTATTTGAAAGACATTTCCAAGTAGTTCCTGGGGAACGTTCATGCTTCTGTCTAAAATTTCTGCTTGATGAGAATGATGTGGAGGCCTGATGAGAATAGCAAAGACATATTTGTAGTTAAGGGCAAAGGACACGATACAGATAGTCCAAAGTTCAAGGCGTGAACCACCAACTGCGGAACCAGGGCTGACTCTTCCAGTGTGTAGTTAACCCCTCTTCGGTTATACAAAACTGGGAATTAGTTGTCCACATTTTGTTTCAATTTTTGATAGGTAACACACTCGCCTGGCTCAAAATAAAAATTGTAAAATGATATCATTGTCTACCAATGCCACCCAATAGATAATGACAGTTTGTATTCTACTGTGTTATTTTTTTTTTTTGGAGTAGATCCAAGTATAGATTCTAACTCCTCCTTTTTACACAAAAGGTAATATATATTCTGCTCTATTCCATTTTTCTCCAGTCAAAGCTTTATATCTATACAGAGAACACTACTTTCTTTCTACAGCCCTTAAGACTACTATCTGTACAGCTTTCTCACTTGTTAACAGTTGCATGATATTCCATTGAATGCATGTACCATGTTTAACCACAGCCCGATTAATGACATTCAACTGTTTTTGCAAACATTTGCCATTATCTCACTTGAATTACATTTGCTACTGTGCACATGTGCCAGGTTTCCTTCTATCAATAACAAACCCTCATGCTAATCAGAATGTAACTGCATCTGACCCCAGTTTCCCAGCTTAATTTTTATCATGAACATTGTATGTCTCTGCACTTCTACCTTTCTTAGTTCCACCCCCTAGCATTGCCATATAAATGTTAGAATAATTTTGTCTTTCTAAAAAAAATCTTGCTGGGATTTCGGTGATAATTGCATTAGACCTGATTCTCAACTTGGCATCTTTGTTGTGTTGAGTTGTCCAATCTATGAACATTGTATATCTCTCCATTTACATCTTCCTTAACCCTTTCCATTAGCAATGTGTAGTTTTCAGCACACACTGAACATGATTTGAGTTACATTTTTATGTAATTATAAATGATTGCATTTTCCCGGTTTTATTGATATACAATTGATATGTATAAATTTAAGGTCTAGAACATGATTTGGTACACATATATATATTGAGAAATAATTGTCACCGTAGGGTTAGGTAACACCTCACCTCTATCACCTCACATAATTACCATTTCTTTTTTGTGGGGAGGACTCTTAAGCTCTACTGTCTTAGAAATGTTCAAGTGTACAGTACAATGTTTACTGTAGTCACCACACAGAATTTATTCATCTAATAATGAGAGAGAACTACCTTCTCTCACACGACATTTTTCTCTGTGCATTCATCCGTTGACACATGGGTTGTTTCCATACCTCATTTTGCTACCTATTTCCTTTGGCTACCTACCTAGAGTGCTTCACATGCCCCCTCCCTCAGCTGAACTGAATAAGCAACCTATAAACACTTCCAACTCTGACTCACCTTTTTCTGCACATTTTCTTTCCTTTGACTGAAATTCCTCTACCGCCTGCATCCTTCAGTAACTTGGGCCCCTGGTCTAAACCAAGCTCCTCTTTATGCCCAGCCCTGCCCCAGCACAGCTCTCTCCTCGGTCCTCTCCACTGTGTGAACATCACCCTCTCCCGAGAGTGCTCCAGATATCATGCCTGGGCCCCACCTCCAGAAACTCTGGTCTAACTGGTGCAACTGACCTCTGGGAATTGGCCTGGACCTGGGTATTGGCCTAAACAACTGCCCAGATGACTCTAAGATGCAGCAAAGCAGAGAGTGAGTAGCCCAGGGGGGTTCTCACTTCGCACAGCACTTACCCTGTCTTGAGAATTGATCCACCACAGGACGATAGGCTCCTAGGGAGATTAACATGGCTGATCCATCTCCGTAAATCACACAGGGTCACCATCGTGCTCTGTCATTAAAATAACAGTGTTCAGCATTTATTGGATGTTTATGTGTTCCACTTTGCACTAAACCCCTAACGTCAATGGACCTACCGACCCCCCATCCCAGACTGTTGAAGAGGTAGTAGATACTGCTCATCCTTCAGCAAGAAGCAAGCCCAGGCCCAGGATGGAGCTGGTCTGAGTGGTGGGAGCTGCTCCAGAGCTTGTGTTCACACTCTGTTCTCTCCATACTTTGTGCAGAGTGCAGATTAGGTACTCTTTGTACCACTTTTCATAATGGCTTATCTTTGAAAACCTGGTTGGGGGGAGGGGGGGTAAAAACCTATTTGATTATGTCATATTTTTATATAAAATTATATTTAAGATTTCCTTTCCATCCAACTTTACCTGATTAAAAATCTCCTGAGTAACAAAGTTCTAATGCTAGAAATAGTTTTCTGATGCACATTAAAGAAATAATCTCATACATGTGTATATCTACAGCACCTAAAATAAAGTCACCTCACCTGATGGTATACCTGCTGTAATCAGAATTGCCAGCCTCTTCTTATCCACAAACATTCACACCTGGATCTAAATTACGCCTTGGGGTTATAGAAGTTTAGCTTGTACTAGAGATCTAAGATGAATAATCGCTCATATTAGAATCTGGGTTTTTCAAAGATTTATTTTTACCTTCTTATACACACAAGAACTGGGTGCAGGCCAGAAATGGAGAGGGGGGTTGGTGAGAGGATTCACCAGAGACAGAGTGGGGAGCAGAACAGGCAGATGGACTGAAACACCCTGCTGAGGGGAGCAGCAGGGAGACAAGAGAGGTCTGCTGTGCCCTGTGGGTCACCCCTTGACCAGGGATCAAATTTGTGCACAGTTGCTGTGATAGTTTGTCAGTGCTGAGACTTTTAAGCCCTGTGGCAGAGGGAGGCTCTAGGATTTGTTGTTTGTATTTTTTTTTAAGTGCCTCTCTTTCCAAAGTAAAACACCATTCACCTGGAATCAACCAGAAAACCCAGCAGCTTGCTGAAGACTTGACTTATCAGATTTTAGTTTTATGAAGTTCTGGCTCTTTGTGAGGCATCTCCTCATAAAGGAGAGACCCCAGAGCTGGGAGGTGGCCCAGTGGACTGAGGGGAGGTCACTGGAAGCTTGGGTGTTGGATGTGGATGTGGGGGTGTAAAATACATTTGTGGGCCCTCCCTGGTGGCACAGCAGGTTAAAGCACAGCACTAAGAAGCTAAAGTCACTTCAGCATTAGTTTGATTCCCGCCTAGAGGTGACCACATGGTGCGGCAGACCTCTCCTGACCCGCCCGCTGCTCCCCTCAGCAGTGTACTTTGTCAGTCGGCTTGTTCCGCTCCCCGCTCTGTCTCTGGTGAAGCCTCTCACTGCCCCTGCACCTCTGGCCTGTACCCCAGTTCTGTATGCATAAATAAATAAATCTAAAAAAAAAAAGTCTGTGGTGGGGTGGAGCTGAGCCCCTGAATCACAGGCAGTGTTTAAAGCAACATTACTTCAATAAAAGTAATGCAATAAAGAAAAGATGCCGACAGATCCATGGCTCCGCCTATCATGTGAGGTAACAGTGAGAAGATGGTCACCTGTAAACCAGGAGGTGGTGCTCACCACACACCAAGTGCACCTGCACCTTGATCTTGGCATTCCCAAGATAATCGTCTTACATATAGAACAGACTGGGATGGAGCTTATACCTACCCTGGTATTCAGGCCAAAGGATTTCTAAGCATTGAAGATGTTTATTCTGGCCAACCTGGTTAGAATTCCCAGACATGTCCTTTGCAAGCTGTGTGTCCTTGGGCAAGTGTTCTACCCTCTCTGAGCTTCATTTCATGCTTGAAAAACATTTTGTTGTAATGTTGGTCTCAGAAAGTTATTAGCATTGAATGATGAGTTTAGTAGTTTGCATGTTGTAAATGCGCCATATTTGCCATTGTGTATTATTCTATAGTGAATGATGATATGTGAAAATTGGTGGCCCTATTCAGAATTACATTAGCTTAAAAAAGGGCCAGCACTGTGTACATACAGTGCTGAAAACAGTCACGCCACTGAATTTAATCACATTACTGTGGTTAGGAGAGTCGCTCGTTACTGTTTACACTGGGTTTCCAGAAACTGCCAGCCTCAGAAGAGGAAGTCTAAAGTCAGGGATTCCCAAGGCAGTGCTCCCAGACAAAGCAGAGGACCACAGAGAGAGGGTGACTGAGCTTTGGTCCCAGCTCTTGGGAGTGGAGATAAAGGAGGGTGTGTTCAGAACGCATCCAACCCTTCTGAGTTAGAAGAAAACTCGGGCCCCCGTCACGTCCCTTATACCAGTAACTCCCAGGTCCCACAGGCAGAATCCTTATTTTTAAAGACTTGAGTACTTTTTAAAGAAAATAGCATTCACTATAGGGACATCCACAATGGCGCTTGTGGAAAACTCACGAGAGGGGTCTCTGGAGGTAGCGAACCGTCATTAGACCGGGAGAACACAGAGCTGGAAAATACGAGCGGCATATACAGTGTCTTTGCACAACTGGGAGAAAAGGGGTTTTGTCTGGAATGCAACGTGCCCTGCTCTCATTACCCTGGACACCAAACAATGTCCTTCCAACCAACAGCGAATGCTGAATATGTTAGAAAGGGGGAGGGGGAGGAAGAGTGACCCTCATAAGCTCCTGATTGTTCTATGCACCCGTGGGCAGAAGAACTATGGCTGGAATTAGGGGGTAAGGGAGAAAGAGAGCGGAGCAAAAACATTACATGGAGAGTTACATTCAACAAGTACAACTGTGAAAACTCTGTTCTGATCCTAGGACGTAGTTGACATCGAGGGCAGAGAAGGACAGGAAGTCAGAGCTGTGAGCGACTCTCTTCCTGGGGACCCAGCAGAACTGGAGGCTGTAAAGGAGGACCCCCAGACGACAAACATAGCAGAGAATAATAATCCCATCATGAGCTTCTTTAAAACTCTGGTAAGTGGCCACCTTCCTTTCCCCTCCACCCCATTGCTCAAAAATTGTGTTCATCCTACCAAGGATAAGTATTCTGTGCGATGGTGCTCAACAGCATGCTGTGGCCAGAACATTGGAGAACATGATGAGATGGGAAACCGATCACACGGGCTCTCCCCTGAGGGAGCCTGGCGTGGAGAACCCCACGAAGAGCGGGCGCCCAAAGTGGGACAGGAGCTTCTCCTCGTGGGCTCCTAGTGACATGCTTGTCTGATGGCTACTGGTCACGACATCACTGATCAATGGCGCCCCTGAGCTACTGACCCCTTCTCCACTCCAAAGGCCAAAAAAGAGAAATCACTTTCTATCCTGTGACTTCTCAGCCGCCATTTTAATTGGAGGCAGGGGCCATGTCTTTCCTGGCTGGCTCATGATAACTCTGCGGGCAGAGTCTACAGTCTGGGTCAAACCAGACCCTCATGAAGTGTTGAATGAATGAAGGCATCAGTCACACTGCTCTGGAGGTGTTTGGGCTGTTTCCAAAAACCAAAAGTGACTTCAAAAGGTAAAACAGAAATGTCAACAGCATAGCTGCAAATACAGACACCAAAGGTCTGTGTGAGCTTGCACCAGGGTGGAAATGATGGGAAGGCTGTGGCTTTCTAGGAGACAGCTCTGAATGTGGTCAGTGGATGTATAAACCGGATGCATTTAATTATAAAACATTGATCCAGTTCATGTATACCTAGTCTGGGGGTTTTACTGAAGTAAGGATGCCTCATTATATTTTTTACCTGTGTCATGAACTAAGTGACTGGAAAAATTCTAAGTATTCATGACATAAAATCATCCACAAAAACTATGATTTCTAACAGTGGTTTTTCTCAAACTTTTCAGGTCTCACCTAATAAAGCTGAAGCAAAAAAAGATCTGGAAGAGCCGGTAGGTGGTTTGAAGTATATTTATGTTTGGGGTGGGATGTAGAGTTGGATGTAGATTGTTTCTGGTGCTCGTTGTTGTTGTTTTAACTTTATTTGTGTGTATATCTATCTATACATTCATATGTATATATTTATCATCTTTATAGCCCTGTTAGGCTCTCCTTAAAATGTCTCATTTATGTTCATGGTATTTAAATGAGTATCAGGAAGCTTGATATACTTGCCAATTGGTGCTAACTAATGTCACAGTAATCAACTTCTTACACAGAGTAAGAACAGAATGCTCATAATTATAGATCATAGAGTCTTTCTAGTTGTGTGTAGAGACTCAGGGAAGACAGTAAAAATTATTCATTGAAAACGAGAAAGAGGTGAGATTCAACTTAAAGTTTGCAGTTATATTTTTGGTTTTTTTGAAAAAGTGGTTTGGTTTTGTAACTTGAAAACATTCTGTGCCCATGAGAAATGTAATTGTTTGGTGAAATGAAGTGGTCACTGCTGGACCTTGCCAGAGGAGGAAGGGAAAGGACTTGGGGTGCTGGAGAGAGCCAAAGATTTTCACTGTCCTCCAGGAAGCTCAGCTGGTTCCTCTCCAAATAAATTTTGTTTGAAACACTGCTTCCTAGAGAGACTTTTCCTTCCCACTTGACAGAACTGAGTTATCTCTAGAAAACACATGGTTCCAATTTCACGGGCATCATGGGGTAAGTTTAACTTAGTGACAAATAAGTGTCTTGTGTCTTTCTTGTGATCACTGCAAGTGCCCAAAACACTGGGCCCCGATCAAGGCCATGGCCAGCCCCATACATCTGCCGTCCATATTTGGAGAGGCTAAGTTAGAAGGGGCGTTTTGGGAGACCTGCAGACGAGCCCCGTCCTGCTGTTCCAGAGTAAAGATCTGAACCCCAATCTTGACAGCAATAAAACTGGGGTAAGACAAATTCTGTCTCCCCAGCCCCAGAAGTAAATGGGGGCAATGACAGTGCCCAGAAGTCCTGGCGACTCTATTCAAATATCTGTGTCCCTATTTTCATAACTACCACAGGCAGGCTGCATAAGATGATTCTTGTGTTGATTGGTTCCTCTAGAATATTCTTCTTCCACTGGAAGAAAGGTATAATCCTGGTTATTTACAAATGTTTCCTATAAAATTATGCCTTTGCTCCAAGGCAGCTAAGGTCAAGTTCAATGAATGGGTCCAAATGTTTCCCTTTTGGTTCTGTGTCTTGATTGTTTGAAGTCGCTTAGTCAGCACAGTAGCCTCCATGGAGTGGGCTTGGGAGGAGGGAAGTGTTGTCTGGCTTCCCCAGAGACCTGACATGCTGTCTTCAGCAGCTCTGGCACCCAGACTTTGCCAACACAAAGGGGCCCCCATTCAACCTAGCCAGCTGGTAAGGTCTCACGGTCCTGCCCAGAGTATGGGTCATGCCAGTGACGTCCTTCTACACACCTGCCTCTCCTACCTTGCCTTTTTTACATCTTTTCTACTGAAGCTCTTTGATCATGCTTTGGAAAAAATCTCCATTTGTCTACTTTGCCATTTGGTCTTGGGGTCTTTCAGCACACGATGTACCCCCTTAAAAATCCTTTGCTGTTTTTGACTTGAGTCAATAATTCTGAATGACTGTAGCTGTCTGGTTGCAGTTCTGAGGGCCCCTTACCCACCCACACTCTTCACACGCTCACACACACGTGTGTGTTCTCCAGCTCAGTGGACTAACTCACCTTTTCCCTGGGGGGTGGGGTGGGGTAAGTATCTTCCCATCTAAAGTCAGTTGAAGTTTTGGGATCATACTGCTTCTCTGAAATTTCTAGCATAACATAATGTACCTGCGGGTGGAAGCCATTCAGTGGCAGTGTTTGCTCTGAGGCCAGGAGGCAAAGAGCAATCACTTGTTTTCAGGATTTTAACGCTTTCTCATGGGGTAACAGCACTTAGATACTTGAAATCATCAAGTAGATGCTGTGTCTTCTTTCTGATTTGGAATATTGTTTTCATCTTCCATATAGTTAGGGCTTAAGCGTCCTCTCCTTGAGAACAGAAGTCCCCAGCTCTTTAAATCGAGTGCCCCTGCTGGGTATGCAGAGTCACTTGCCTGTGAAGCACAGTGCACTGTGACACACTGAGGCTTTGCAAAAGCAAACATGTGTGAGGTGGCTTGAGGTTGGGGTTGGGGGTGATACACCAGCACTTCATTGTCGAAGCATCTTAATGCACTGAAAAAAAAAAGTGGATTTTGTTTAAAATCAAAGTTCTAAGCTGTGACTGCTGTTGCCCAAAAGGCATGCAAAGCAGAAATTGTCTGTGATGGCCAGGTTGGGCAGAAGACACCGGAGAGCCACGCTAAAGGCGCCAAGAAAAAGCACCTGGACAGCCCCAGGCTGGGACTCGCCTTTAGGAAATTCTTTAGGCAGAAGGTCTGTATCTTGTTAAACGAGCAGGAAAGAGAACCCTGGTCTGCACAGGAGCTGTGGGTGCCCCAGCTCGGCTTCTGTGAGGACAGAGCCTTGGGTGGTGCGAGTGTTTCGGGGGAAGACAGGACTCAAACATCAGTGACTACGTCGCCATAGCCTCAGATGTCACAAGTTTCCTCCCGGTGTGGACCAGGGTTCTGAGATTGCTCTTCTCACCCCGTATTTCCCAAAGGTCAGGAGTATGCCTGCTACCGTCATCATTTTTGTCTGCTTGAGTATTTAGTGGATATTTTTATAGTGGAAGGGGCTCCTTTCCCGTTTAAAGTTACTTTTAAAATAAACCTTGTATGACATCATACCTGGAAGGCCAAATCACGCTTTCTAAAAGGAAGCTAACCTTGAACATGGCTGATCAAAGAAGGTATCACATTCTAGTTACTTCCTTTGTGCCAAGCTCCTTATCTACCGCACTTGACAACTTTTTAAAAGGCAGTTAAAGAGCCGAAGAGCCCCAGATGGAGACGTTCCCTCCAAAGTTCTGAGAAGGATTAAATGAGAGCTGGGGAAGGATTCACTAGTTCACTAATTGAATATTATTTAGTGTCTCCTCCCCTCCCAAGCTAAAAAGCAACCTTGATGACACCGATGGTTTGCATCCTACACTTTGGGAAATACTGTTCTAACCTCCAAAGGACAATTTGATGCCCCACCGTGCCCAGCTTAACTAAGCTTATACTAAACCCACCTCAGAGCAGCACTTAACAGTGGATGAGGACAGACAAGTTCTAGCCATGTCTGGGGAAGGGAGATCACCGAGATTCTGGTGGGGATTTCACCCCAAGAAGACACCAATGTTTGTCTGGAGCCAGGAATTAAAAGCACCCCTGAACTGGGTCAGTATTCATGGAAATTTGTTTGAAATATCAGCCATTCTCTATTATATGGAATGAAATTATTAAAATCCCCTCCAGCTAGAAATTAAAGTTCCAGATCATGTATGCAAATGACAGCTCCGTAGAAATTTCTCATGACTGGAATCTGGATTTGCATAAACAAACTACGTGATGAAGCCCCCCTTTAATTCTGCACCGGCTTGTTTTGTTCTGTAAAGAGAGAAGGGGGTAGAGGGGGTCGACACTACAGCGGGGAGAGGAAATGAAATCTCGGTCCCGCAGTTTGTGGGAGGAGGTGGTAACTGCTAGGGAAGGCCTCTGTCTCCACAAAGGAGTCCGCTGAATTCCCTCGTGGGCCATCCGTGATGGGGCCATGGAAGTTTGCAAAGTGCATGACTTTCCCGTCAGGTCTGCATTACATTATGACATTCATTCCATGCACTGCAAAGTTGCAAATCCCCAGACTCGATTCCAGTTCATAAGTGGTCTCCCAAGTTCAATAATCCCTAGAGCCCAGAATGCTTGGCCTCTAGTCCCACCCCTGGGTGCGTTTCGGCAAAGGGTTAACGCTGCTGCATGAGTTCTCGGTGTTACGGGCTCAGCCACGTTCAGTCTTTTTATGTCAAAGTAAAGTGAGGGTCAATGCCCAAAGGTTCTTAATTCCTAGCTGTCCAGGAGCTCGACAGGAACCCTTCACTCTTACCACCAGGCCTAGGACAGTTGTTTCCTTCATGACTATGCTCTCATTCCAGGAGACAGAAACATAACACCATTAAAACTGACCAGCCCGCTGCATCCCTGGGCCGACTTGCGTGAGCTCAGGAAGTATGATCCCCATCGTGACTTCATTGTAACCTAACGCAGAACGGGGTCCTGCCCACAAATTCAGGGATAAAACTTGAATTACTATTTTCTGGCTTTGCTGGAAAAAAGAAAATACAATGGTCAGAAACTTGAGTTAACACTGAGATGCATTTCTCTACATACCAGTTTTCCTTTCTATAAAAAGGATTTTCTTCAGTTAAGAAAGGGAAGATGCCTGGCACTCATTAAATAAGTTTATGGCTGCAGCCAGGCTCTTCACTCGCTGGTGCTGAAGTTGTATCTTCTCTTGCTTCGTCAGATACGGTCCCTCAGAATCAAATTCTTTCGCACGTCCCCCAACGTGGGCTGTGACAACATGCTCACTCCCATGTTCTGGAATGTCTGGCCATGCCCAGACAGGCTCCTCGCTCCCCCAGGCTTCCTGGGCGCCCACCCCCCATCTCTGCAAGCTGGCCGTGGGGTTCAGGAGCTCCGCTACATAGTCACGCGTTCAGTTCTTGCTGCGATAGTCACATCTTGCTCACACCTCCCCCCTTGCACATCCAAGGTGAATGCAAGATGGACACTTAGCAGGGCAGCAGGTAAGTCATGTGCTGGACAGACCCCTCCTCTAACACGTCAGTCTCTTCTGGGGAGGCTGCCAGCCCAATTTCAGATCATCAGCCAGCCCAATTTCAGATGATCAGCAAGTTAATTGTTTAGTAGCGATATCTGTGTGTCCAAAACATTCGCTGGGATACTCTTGTGCAAAATAATTATTCTTAGAAGTTCTTTTTTTTTTAAAGATTTGTTTATTTATGCATGCAAGAACTGGGGTACAGGCCAGAGGTGCAGGGGAAAGAGGATTCACCAGAGTGGAGAGCAGAACGGGCAAATTTACTGATTCGTACTGCTGAGGGGAGCAGCAGGGAGACAAGAGAGGTCTGCTGCGCCCTGTGGGCCACTCCCTGGCTGGGGGCAGAACTGCACGGCTGCAGACAGATTCATAGTGCTGAGACTTAACCCCTTGCACCACCAGGGAGGCCGCAAACTAACATTCTAACAGCTAAGTTCATCTTCCCGTCACCTCCAGTGAGCAAGACAATGTTTCTGTGTACTTGCTCCCAAAGGGAAAGATCTCGGTTTTCTAAGACTTTAACACAAACTGTATTCCTATTAGACTATTAGAAAACGACAGGAAAGTGTAAAGAAGAAAGTGAATATATATAAAATCCCTGCCCGTGTTTATTT